CCAACACAGGCTCCCTGCCCTCCACTGGGCAAGGACTTGGCACTGCCCCAGTGACCAGAACCTATCGAAGAAAAGGGAGAAGAGCGCATGGCATGCAATCCACACCGCAGAACGTACAGCTTCACCGAACGCTCAACCAACCTGCGGAACTCATTGCCAGGGGATGCCGTGAAGGCCACAGGTATAACTGGGCTCAACAAAGAATTAGCCATTGATGGACCTATCCTCCAGGAACGGGTCTATTAGCCAAGATGGTCAGGGACACCAGGCCATGCTCAGTGTCCCGAAGCCTCTGACCGACAGAAGCTGGGGCTGGATTGCTCAACGATTGCCCTGTTCTGTTCGTTCCCTCTGAAGCACCTGGCTCCAGCCACTGTCGGAAGACAGGACACTGGGCTAGGTGGGCCGTCCTTGTGACGCACAGCGGGCATCCCTGGAAGTTTCGTGTCCTCAGCCGTGCCCGGGCAAGGCCTTCCTCAGCAGCACCGCACGGCCCCTGCCACAGAGGCAGGCAGCAATCACCCTGCAGGGCGTGACCCTCTCCCCGGGAGGCATAGAGGGGAGCTCATCGCAGGACGGTCCCATGGGTACGGCACTGGATGGGGCCTCAGAAACCGCGGGTTCTACCCCTGGCTTGGCACAACCGTGGGCAACTCCCTGCCCTGCTCTGTCGGGTCTGCGAGCTCACTGGGGCAGGGACTCTCTCACCCTGCACACTGCAGCCCCCCTAAGGCATTACACTGGTGCAATACAAGTCCTGACACACAACGGCCCAGGCAGACGCCACCTTCCTTTAGCTCCCAGTTCCCCTATATTTAACGCCTCCCTTCCCGGGTCGGGAAACCTCAGAGCGTGACTGGCTGATGACAGCGACTCAGGTTAACTCCTGATGCTGACCCCCTCCAGCAGGGATCTTCTCCCACTCCCTTCCCCAGCCAGAGGCAGGCCCACGTCCTGCCTTTTTTTTTGGTGCACTCATCACTGCATATTTTTATTCCAACCTTTGTCAGCCGTTCACCCGCTCCTAGAGGCAGGGAGCAGCCGCAGCTCTGCACTGCTCCGGGGCAGCTAGCGAGGAACAGAGTGAGCCCAGTGACAAGGAGAAGGGGAAAGCAGCTCTGATCACCTGGCTCTCACACAGCGACAGCCAGTCTGGTACCGAGCCTGCAGCTTCCATCAGCCCGAATTTCCGCTCCTCCATCTCGCTTCCCGATAGCGGCTCTCTGAAGGGGGGACGCCCCCACCCCCTCCGGTTTCAATAAAGCCCCGTTTGTCCCGTCGGCTCCCCACCTGCTATTGCATTGCTGTTTTGCATCAGCGGAGGAGCTGGCACCAGCCCAGAAGTGGCAAGGACCAGGGGCTCTCAGCTCATGCTACGGACCCAGCTCCCAAGTCCCGGGATGATCGGCACGCGGACCGGCCGAGGCAGCATGTCGTTTTGGACTTGCTTTGCGGGTGGCTCTGGCCGTTACACAGCACTGCGAGTGGCTGGTGAGAGGCTCTTAGAGTGGGTTAGACCAGCACCGGCCCTGGGCTGGGTGGAGCCGGTGCCATGGCAGGAGGTGCATTAGAGGTGGGGGAAGAGCAATGCCACTGCTGCTTAGGACCAACCCAACCCTACAAAGCGTGAAAGCAAAGCTCCACCAGCGGGCCGGAAAGGGGAGAGGCAGCCGACAAACTCACAGGCAGGAGAGGAGCTTGGAGCAGCTCAAAGCCGCTGAGCGGACTGAGCCGGATCCCAGCGGGAAGGGTGTGAAAAGGTGTCATTTGGAGGCAGGGACAATGATTAACCCGAGGTGACAGAGTACAGGGACCCGGCTTGTTCTGGGGACGTCCTTGGTCAGTTCTTTGCAGTGGGAATCCTGCACCCAGACTGGAACTTGCAACACACTCGCTGACCAGAGGGAGAGTGAGGCCCAGGTCCGTCCCTCCGTTAAAACAGAGCTTTCAGCGAGCACTGGGGCAGAGTCCAGGGGCTGGGATCTCTCCGTGAGGCTACACCCTTGAACTGTGCTGAAGTCTCTATTAGAGAGAGGGTGAAGCGAGGGCCCCGCCTTGCACCCGGTGCTTTCACCTCTGGGGACCCCTGGTCAGGAAAAAGAGCCCAGGGCTGGAAGAGCACGGGACTGGGGGGTCAGGATTTGAGGGGCATCCGCAGAGCTGTGGGGGCGACCCAGGGGCTGGAAGAGCAGGTGTGTGGGGGCCGCAGCCCAATCAATCCACTGCAGCCCTGGGATTGTGCGTTATGCAGAAACTTTTCCTGCGAGGACCTGGCTCGAGAGAGCCGCTCTGAACAGAGCAGCGATGTTCCAATCACCTGAGCCGCTGCCCTGGTTTCCGCAGCCCTCCCCCAGGCTAAGCCAGTGCCCCCCACCCACCCAGGGGGAAGAGTTTTCAAACACTTTCCCTGCAGCTCCCAGGGGACGTGGACCCAGCAGCCTGGTTGGCACAGGAAGTGACACAAGCAGCAGCGGACGCCCCCGGGGGCTGCCGGGCGAGCAAGTGCTCGCTGGGAGATTGGCCTCCGCAGATCCCCTCCCTCGTGGTGCAAGGGGCAGCCAGTGCGGCCTGGGCCCAGCCAGTAGCTCAGAGCAGAGCTGCGGGACGCTGGGGTTGCACAAGAAAGTTGTTCCCGCCACGTCCTCTCCCTCCCGCTGCACACGCTCCTCTGGGGGGAGGTGGGGCTGATAAACAGGGCATCGGGGTCATCCAGCAAAGAAGCGGCGGTTCTGTTGTAGAGCAGAGACTGGTCGTTCTTCCCTGGAGCCCTGGGCTTTCCCAGCTGGACTGGTCCCCAGGCCCCCCCGGCACACAATGTCCAAAGGGAGTGAGACAGAAACCTGGCACGTCAGGGGTCGGGGCTTAGACCTCCAGCTACGATCGTCGGTTAAACCACGCCCGTGCCCATGGGACAGGCGCACCGTCACACCACGCAGTACTGCGTCGGCACCAAAGCGTGGCACAGGTCCAAGCCAATCCTCACACCCCTCCAGGAGAAAGGCAAGCCTCGCTGTGCCTGGGCACCACGGAACCGTTCTGCCCCCGGCCCCATACACATCTCCCTGGGCACCACAGGACCGGTCTGCCCCCGGCCCCATACACATCTCCCTGGGCACCACAGGACC